TTGCCTGGGGCAAACATCTTGTATGCAAGTTAAAAGGGAGTCAAAGCGATATGTCAACAGTGATTTATACAAACTAATATTATTATTTTTGTTCGAATACTACATTTGTACTGTGTTTCATCTGGTACATACAGTTGATTGTACATTTATTTTAAAAGCATTTTTTTATGAGAAATCATAAATTAAATAGTCATACTGTATGTGCAAAGTTAAGCAGTGGTTTTAAGATTTTTATTAAATTACGAGGATCAATTAAAATCCAGGTACGCACTGTCGCAAAATAACGTGTGTAATGTTCAAATGATACCTTTTAGGACACTGCTCTGCAGATACAACCATTGAGCTAAATCCGTAGTTCCGGAGGTTCAATTTAATTTAATTATATGGACTCACTGAGGTTTTTAATCAGAAACCAAGGCCGGGTCGGACAATTAACCGCTGTTCCAGAGGGAAAAGTTAAATAAATAAAAAAAGAAAAAAAGAAAAGAAAATCGAAATTTGGATTCGGTTCAAGACCAATCCACTTTGAGATGGGTCATTCCACATTGTGTTGTCCATCCGCGGGGTCTGCAAATCCCTTGTAAGGACATATGAGCCGTAACGGAAATCCCGTCATGAAATACGAATGTCTCAAGTTAACTGGAATTCTTTGAAAAGGAGATTCTTGCGTCTTGATCCGCACACCTCCCAAAATAGCTCGCCCCTCGGTGAAACAAACTCAACAGCTTGGATCTCTCGCTTTCTCGCTAATCAATAAGATAATCACCTACATCCCCTCGCGTCACCGGCGAATTCCACGGCGAAAAAATACTACTTAAAATGCCATTTGAGTAAAGGGGGGGGGTCCTAAACCAGGCCGCTAACAAGATGCGGGAAGGGCTACGGTTCATATGCAATGGGAACAGTGCACTTGTTTCGCAGTGGGAATCGTTCGTGTACGTTGCATGCGCACATAAACCTTGCACTCTGCTCTCAGACTTTGGATGGGAAAACAATTTTGTCGCCGTGACTCATGTACCTTTTAAAATCAGTGGAGCTTGAACAATTTCATCAACTATTTGCGCAAAATCCAAATTGCTTTGGATTCATCTACTCCAACTGGCCTCGGGTTGATGCTGTGCAAAATGAGGTCGGCAGTTGCTTGTCAAACACAATTTTGCGAGCAATGACGGGTTCAATATAGTTCTTTAAAAATGGCTGCCCGGAGGCATTTTTTTTTCTGACAATTGAAATATTCAGAAGTAAACAAGTCAATTTCACTCTGCAGTTGAAACTGATGGTGGACAATGTCATAACTTTTATTTCGCATTTCCACAATCCACACTAAAACACATCCCCCATCTGCTGTGCATCACTTCAATATATTGGAAAGGTTTGTTTTCTTCTTCGTCGTCTTTCTTCCCATGTTCAAAAGAAATTCCTCCTCCAGACAGACTGCATAGGGGGTATAAAGAATTTAAAATTTTCCATTCCATTTGAATAACTTCGCAGCGATTTTAGTGCCCGAGGACCTCAAGCTTGAATACATTTAAAATATAGCTAAAATTCTTCTTTTCAAACACACCTCAACTGGAGAGAATTTGAAAACGTACATTTTGTATAGTCATTCTCACGTACACGCAGATCGATTCATTCGAATTTCTTCATAGAGGATGATATTTTGTGTTTATTCAAATGGCTGGCCGCAGTAATGGCAGGGGCTGTCTGAAGAACATCAATTCCCTGCTGAAGTGGCTGGTGAAAGTCAACAAATCAGTGGTGTCCGATTTGTTGGGCAAACAGCCCAATCAAAACACTCCTGTGAGACTGATAGGCTGCCAGCCAGCCTGTCATATTGGAAGGGCAAAAGGGGGGGGGGGGGGGCTGGGAGCTATGTGTGCAGCATATATTCTCTGTTCAGTGACAGAGAAAACAAGAAGATCCTCCCTTCTAGCAGTGTTTGCACGCACTGGTCAAACGCAACACTCGCATGCAAATCTCGCAAAAGCCAGCTCGGGGAACATATACCTCACATTAAAGGTTTACCGGTCGTCAACTGCACACCGTCAAATGCACACCGCATGTTACAAAAAAATACTTCAGTCGTGTATTTTTGTGTACATGGTACAGAGCCCTTGCTTCCAATACCCCACTTAAGATGAAACGAAGCAATTTACAGATGTTAAGGAATTATTAGGTCAGAGAATCAGTCTGGCAGGCTTGTACCCCTTCACAGGTGTGTAATCAATTGCAAAGAAAATGCGGAATAACTAAAATATGAAAAAGTAGGAGCACTTTAAAAAAAAAAGAAAAAACAGTTTTCTCCAACGCTGGTCGGCCGACCAGCGTTGGAAATTGATACAAAAATACCACTTTACTTGAAAATGTCAGCACACCAGGAGCCATTATTGTACGGGATGCTTTAGAGTGTTATTCCCTAACAGTCCGTTAAAGAATTTCGTGGTAATTTGATCATTTTGTTTTTTGATGTTTGCAAATGTTGTATCTTCCCTTTTAAGTACAATTTCCTTCTCATTGCTGTTCCTTCGAATAATTAAAAAAAAAAAATGACTCGACATACCGTCTATGCGTGTACATGTACTCCCTTCGCAATGCGTTTTCCCGCCTGACCTATTTGCTTGATTAATGTTCTACTTCATTAGATCAGACTTCACAGAACAGGAGTGTGTTTGACTACCCTGGGCATGTCATGTGGATATGTTCTGGGAATTACAGCCATGTTTGCCAAGTGTCAGTTTTTTTTTCCCGCTCAGACAAAATGTAAATACAAGGTACCTGGATCTCGGCCAGACACTGCAATGTGTAGTGAGCAGATGTTTCATCAATATATGAGCTGATCTCCCCAAAGATTGATTTACGTTTTGGAGAATTGGGGGGGGGGGGGGGGGGCATGTGTCTTATTTTGCATGTATTTCAGTGTCGTGAGGTTGCTTGGTTGATTACTCTCAGAATGCACAATCTTAAAGGAAATGAAACTGACTTGTCGGACTGGCCCCTGGGGAAAAGCCACAATTGTGGAAATGCGGAGAGAATCACGGAATTGGGGCTGTCGCATACACGTCGAATCAATTCTGACAGCAGAGGGAGTACGGCCAGGCACAGGTCCGCATGCTGCTCGGCTTTCGCTGCCAATCGTTCTTGTATTATTCCATATTAAGGCCACAGATTTCATTAGATCTGCTGGAGTCGATATTAAGTCAGATCTGATACCGCCATGGACATGCATGACTTTGTGGGGGGGGGGGGCATTGAAGCCTCGGCTACATGTCTCCAGCTTGAGGTTCAAGAAATTGGAGGACACCTGGTTTAGGGGACAGCCGCTCTATAGATTTGCTTTGGGAACGTCAATACCTTTTAAAAAAAAATGTATGCTTTGATTTTTTTTTAAGGCTTCAATCTGACTCTGGGGTTAGGTATGAAGACGAAAATTGAGACAAAGTCATTGTTTTAAACCCCCCCCCCCCTAAAAAAAATTTAAAAACAAAAAAGTCAGAGTCTGCATTTCAACATATCTCCCATGGTGTGCTTCCCCCTCTTGGCAAAACTTCGGCCATATAACAATAACCATAACCTACATGTAGTATAGAATATGATTTTCAAAGTGTCTGCCTTTTTTTGGGGGGGGGGGTGCGTTTTGGGATTGTAATGTTGTTTTGTTTTGTGTTTGTGTGTTTGTTTGTTTTTTTGCCTTGCATTATTTCAAACTGTACCTTTATATTTCATCATTTTAATGTTTGATGTGATTAATGTTTATTTTTCAGTTCTATTCTTTTTGTTGACAATGTGATGCTTTGTTACATATTGTAATGTCTATGTGCTTGTGTATGGATACATATAGAGTCAGGACGTTGGTATCAAGACACTTGTTATGCTGGACGAACAGGGAGGTATGTATCACTAGAGGGCGCTGTTTCGGTGGTGGCGCCCTCAACATTTTGATGAAATGTTGCAGCTGGTTAAGGCTTTGCTCATCGTGTGAGTATAGACCTTATGTGTGGCAGCCATCTTAGAGGGCAATGTCTTTGTTTTTGCGTGGATACGCACGAGTGAACCTGATGTGCATTCATTGTACTGAATTAAAATAACAAAAGATGCACTCTAAGATGGCCGCTACGCATAAGGTCTATACAAAGTTGGAAGAAAAAAATGAGGACTTTGTTGCAACTCATTCATCAAAAAATGGAGGGGAAAAAATCTGAAAAGTGAGTGAAAAAAATCCTTTTGCTGATGAGTGAAGCATCTTAACCAGTATGCAAAATGGGTCAGTTGTGAGGTGTCAAATTGGTGTCGGATCTTTTTACAGAAAAATTATAATAATAATAATAATAATTGCAGTGAAAACAATGCATTTCGTCAGTTTTTACCTTTTTGACATTTCACAACTCAACAAAGTAACAACTGCATTGAGCTTGATTCATCACATTGACACTTTTATTGCTCTCTTTTCCCTTATCTCGGTTGCAATTTTTCCCTTTTCCTTTGGTGTCTCGGTCCAAACTACCGGTATCTTGTCTCCCCTGATGTCTGTCGGTCTTTCATCCGCAATTCCATCCATCCCTTCTATTTTTGTGTGCTATTTTTTTACCTCAAATTCTTTCCACTCTTGTTTCCGTTATGATTGTAATGAACTGCTACATTTTGTCTGTTTGTCTGTTTCCTCATGTTCTGCTGTTCCATCATGCATTATAATTTGGCATTAATAACTTCCCCTATTTTTCTACATTTCTGCTATTTCTCTTGTTCGGTGCATGTCCTTGCAATTTCTTTATATTATTGGTTTCCCCTCTGTATTATTTTGACTATTTACTCTTCCTTATTATCATTGCTTATTTCCAATCTACCTGATTCTCAAAAATGTTTAACTTCTGTCTGTGGTTGCTGTTTATGTTTTGTGTACTCTTCTGTCATTTTTATGTTTCGTCGCACCTGTTATGTTCCCCCTCCCCCCCCATCCTTCTCTCTCTTCCACCCACATTTTCATCACCCATCCCCTCATGTAGAGTAAGGAAGCGGGGATCAAGACTCTTGTTATGTTGGATGAACAAGGAGGTGACATCTCGACTCTTACACTTTGTTTCCTTTTGAACATTCTCTGTGTGGTGTCTTCATGCTCCCTAACTTGCTTGATTAACCCAAAAAGTAGTTGTACAATGCTGTTGTTGTCATCCACAGTGAATGTTAGCGAGAAAGGGCTCAATTTCATATTACCGCTTAGTGAAAAATTGTCAAGAAAAATGTGACCATAACCAGCAAGCATATAGACCAATCCGGTGGCAGCCATTTTCTGCGGTGGTTGCAAGGCTTGCGCAAGTCGCACTCAGGTAGTGCACACGCACTCCGGGCTCCTTCGACCAATAGGAATACCAAAATGCGCGTGCGCCTCGTCTTTAAGAATGCGTGCAACATGCACGAGCGTAACACTACCACAGAAAAAGCTTCTAATTCTGTTCACCGGATTCCACTATAAAATGTTGAAAAAGCACGCTAATGACTCTGTGCACAGGTACCCCTCAGTGGTTGCAAAGGGAGAATGGGGGGAGACCATTGGGAGGGACATTTGAACGCACTCTCCACTGCCTGACGCTCACGCATAGATGTTTTGCATTTATGCACGCTCAGAATAAATTGAGTCATGCGTACTTTGCACCCTACACGAATAAACCAGTTCCCCTCCCATACACATGTACTTATCTTTTTTAACCATTAGTGTGGAGAGATCCAAATATTAAGTGGTGCTATGAAATTGACCCAGCCCACTATGGCCACAACATTTGTCACTCAATACATTAATGCTGTTTACATGTCTCGCACTGAAAACTTTTCTCTTTATGTCTTATGGATACTGAAGGAAATATCTCGATATTAAAGGTAGAGTGGACCATTTGCAGCTATCCAAAAAATTAACCGACCAAATTATTGTTAAAACGCTTACATGGTTTAAAGATAGTGATGACGCCAAACTCCTTGTGAAATTATTCCTTCTGGCATGCTGTCATTTTGAAGAAAACAATAAAAGAAAGTCATTTCCAAAGATGTGTCAAGCGACACATTTTTTGAAATTTCTGTTCGAAATTTGTTTGTAATTGGGCAGATCTCTGAATGGGTGAAAGCGTTAACACGACGTACACACGCACGCGGTTGCTATTATTTGTTGGTTCAGTGTGTGACATCACGTAGTTACAATCAGCTGAATTGTTGCTTTCACAATGAAAAAAATGCACAAATGACAAATGGTCCATTCTACCTTAAATTCTCTTTCTCTTGCTCAGTAGCAAAATTTTAATCTTCTATGTTATAAATAGAGCATGTTTTTTAAAATACTCGGTTCACATAATGTTTGAAAGATTGATTTAAAAACCAACCTTTTGTTACCATTCCTTCACAACCATAGTCATTAATTTGGCCTAATTAAAAAAAAACAGACATGTAAACAGCCAGTGTTTTAGTTACTGTATTTGTATCATGTACATTTAGATGTACATGTATGTTCAGTTGTGATTTTATTTGAGTGAAGTAATGTGACAGTATTAGCTAGAGTATTTTTTTGTCAGATTTATGTTCCACACATCTCATTCATCATTTATGTTGAGAAAGATTTGTATGGTCTTCATTTAAGATAGCAAAAGTAAAAGTGTATTTTATAATGACTAGTGTTTGCATATTTGCATCAATGAGATACAAGTTTCAAGTTTTCAACAAATTTACCTTTCATGGCAAATTTACATTATTGCTGGGTAAGTAAAGTCTGTCACGAGCCAATATGGCCCATCAGGCCAGCGTTTATCTCCAGTTTCAGTAGCATGAAATGACTGAGAATATTTCTATTCCCCCTGGATGGGATGCTAGTCCATCGCAGATTGCTTCCCAGCTAATGCCGGAACCCATTTATACTCCTGGGTGGAGAGAGGCAAGTGGGGATGAAGTGGCTTGCTCAAGGACACAACATATGACCAGCAGCTGGATTCGAACCCCTGACCCTCTGATCTGATCATAAGTCACAAACCCTAACCACTAGACCACACATCTCCTAGTGCTGTATATGTACATGTACCTGGTACTTATCAGTACAGTTGTTGGAATTAACCCTAGGCCCTATTGGCTAGGAACCATCCTCAATCCTGCAAAATCCTCCCATTGCAACCATGTCAAAATTGGATACAGCCTCAATCCTCCAAAATCATCCCTTATTTCTCGAAATTGTTCAGAGGAGGGGGGACCACTGCATCAATCCTTTAAAATCCTCCGACTCACTTTTACAGACCTTGGAGCAGTGTGGATAATATACAGAGGCAGTAAGGATGATATCTAAAATAATCTAGGCATAATTTATGCATGGCTAAGCATAAACAAAGCAAGACCATGACAAAATGCATCCTGCAAAATCAACTGGCACTAAAACGGCATACAGCCTCAATCCTCCAAAGTCCTCCAAAACTGCCTGGTTTGAGGAGGGTTAGGGTTAATTCCTGATTTTCACAGTGAATTCGAATCACCTATACAATCACAATTTGACAAGCAAACAACAAAGATTGGTAGAGTGATAAGGGCCCAATTTATTGATCTGCTAACCACAGAACTCTGGCTTACAATGTATGTTGACCATTATGAGCTTACAGTACTGGCAAGGAATTTCTGTGCCAACCCTGTAAATAAGCACGAATTGGATTTAAGTATTAAAGCCAAAATTGCTTTCTAGCAGGTGATATGCTAACCACAAGTGCCGAGTTTGCTTCTAAAGAAAAAGTGGATAGTGTATGAAACTGATCACAGGTATTTGGCATCGACAGCAGTACAATTTAAGCCATCAATTATTTCCCCTGAAAAAGAAATGGGCAGAGAAGTGCTACATTCAAAGATTTAGTCAGTGTAAAAACAAATTGTACATGGAGCTATGTTAATCTTAGTCATTCATACAATTTACATGTATTTACATGTATATTCACCTTTATCACAAAAATTAGTGCTAAGTATTTTTCAGTTAAAATTTGTTGTGTGCCAATTCCCCTACCTCAGTAGTGTCTTGCAAGTTATTAGTTATGTACCCATTGTATTTTATTTTTGTATTTTAACCCAGTGTTGTGAGCTGTGAGAAATTGTAGCTTGTGAGCAGTGAAAAAAGATCATAGATTAATTATTCATTTGATTAGTTTTGTTAAGGGATTGTTAAAAAGGAAAATCTTAAGGTCAAGCATTGATCTTTTGTCTTTTTATTTTGAAAAGATGGTTTGAAGTAAATGTATTGCAATTTCATAGATGCTGCACTTCAGGTTTGGTTGTTTTTTTGGTTTAAATCTTAGGGAGGGGTTGGTTGGTAAATACTCTTGCCATCTGCTGCTTCAGTTTATTTGAAACTTGTGCTGACATTGCTTGCCGTATGCACGGCAGATTTCTCACCTTCGATTCTTGGGATAATTTCTTTTCCTTCTGCTTCTTGATCACAGAGCAACTTGATCGCATCGAAGAGGGTATGGACCAGATCAACTCGGACATGCGCGAAGCGGAGAAGAATCTCACGGGTCTGGAGAAATGCTGCGGCCTGTGTGTCTGCCCCTGGAAGAAGTAAGGGAAACAAGACCAGGCTTGCCTAGCCGAGCTGCTCCCAAAAGTCTCGCTTCAGAACATTATTCACATAATTGTATTACATATTCTTTGATGCATTGTGCACATCTATACAGTGTATGGTGCACTTTAACCTTAACAGAACTCAACCCATCAAACCCCAACAGCATGTTTTGTTGGAATCTGTCAGGATGGGTACAGTACACATAAACTGACAGTCTTTTACATTGGGTTGGCACAACTCCAGAAAGTCAGAAATATGTGTGTGCAGTTTCCCATATGGTGTTGGAATTTGCCAGGATGGGTATGGTTCCTAGTAAATCATGCTAGGGAGTTAGGGTTAAGCTATAAAATGAGCCATTGCAGCGATCCACATAGACCCCTAAGTGCTATTCTTCTTATCTGGTTCCCTGACCCTACTGGTTCCCTTGCACCTGTTCACAGATATGTAACCAATGGCAAACAAAATGTGGACTAACTAAATTTGGTAAATTGGGGGCAGTATTTGAGAAAAAAAGTCAGGTTTTTTTCCAATGATTGTCGGCCGACCATCAACGGAAATTGAGTCAAAACTTACACTTTTCTTGAAAATGACAGTACACCAGGTGCCATGATTTCCCAGAATGCTTGAGACTGTTATTTACTTACAGTCAAGGTATTCCAGTAAGGTATTTCATAATAATTTGGTAGTTTTGTTTTTGATGTTTGCAAATGTTGTGTGTTACCTTTAAGCAAGCACTCTGTGGTTTTCACAGTAAAATTAAGTGAAGTAGGACTAGGGAACATTATTACGGCGCCAAAGCACAGGAAATGCTCGCTTAGCATAAGCAGGTAACCGTCCCAAATTGAACTGTGTATTGGTTGTAACTGGCTGTTCGCTGCATACATGAGGCAGACCAGGTGCGTGCATATGACACTATTACTACAACTTCCCCAAGATGTTGTTATGACAGCGGTCCGTGGGTGATATTGGTTCTTTGTGATAACGCGCTCTCGCAGTGAGTGGTCCCTTAATTATCCAATATACAACCACAACATCTTGAGCGAAGACTAGGTTGACTGCAAACCTGACCTCATATCACACACACATGTACAATAAGGACAGGAAACGCCCACAGTGATTCTGACATTTGATTGGTTGTCATTTGTCTTGTTCACACTGCCTCCCCTGTACGCTGATTGGCCAGTACTTCTCACTCTTCATGCATAATTTAGCATCCATCTGTATGGGGGTAGATTTTATATTAAATTGATCCCATATCATTCATGTAGGTCATTAGGCCAATGACGCACTGGCCGGCCTCATACTATAAATCCACTATCCTCCATTATGGACTCCGTGCTTGAACAGTTGAGGGCGCTTTATGACCATTTCTGAGTGTCACAATGGGAGGGAAACACTACGTGCGCGCGTACTGGTCTATGCACATATGGCGTGAGGTACGCACGACTTATTATATTCTTAAAGGTACAGTCCATCATTTGCAGCTATCCAAAAAGTAACTGACTACATTATTGTTGAAAATCTTACTTGGTTTAAAGATAGTAATGGCAATAAACTCCACGTGAAATTATTCTTTCTCAATTCTGGCATGCTGTCATTTTGGAGAAAAGAATAAAAGAAGGCCATTTCCAAAGATGCGTCACGTGACGCATTTTTGGAAATTTCTGTTAGTAGTTGGTCTGTACTTCGGCCAATCTGTGAATGGGTGCACGCAAGTGTTGACATGATGCACACGTGTGCGCTGTTGCTATCATTCGCTGGTTCAGTGCGTGACATCACGTAACTGCAACCAGCTGAATGAGAACGTGTCTGCATGCTGATTTAAGGCACAATTCAAAACATGACTCGGCAACGTTTGAATTGAAATCGAGATCCTAGAATATTGTTTCCTCGGAATATACACTATCAGCATCCACTGAGCTAAAACTTCGTCAGGTTAGTTGGTAAGCACATGTCTAGCTTTTAAAGGTACAGTCCATCATTTGTAATTTGTGCATTTTGTTCGTTTGAAGCAACAAAAGAGTTCAAAATCTAATGAAGGATACTGAGCAACTAACCTGATGAAGTTTCAGCTAAGCTTCAGCTGTACATTCCGAGAAAAACAGCGTTCTAAGATCTCAATTTCAAATCAAAAGTTACTGAATCATGTTTTGAATTGGGCCTGAATTGCAGCTATACGCGACGTCGCGCACTGATCCGACGAATTATAACAACCGCGCGCGCGTGTGCGTCGTTCCAATACTTTGTGCGCGCTGCGCTGAATAACAAAACGAACTACTAATTTAAATTTTCCTACGGTGCTTCTTAAGAATCACCGTTGGAAATGCCTTCTTTCGTTGATAACTTCAAAATGACAGCTTCCCAGAAAGAATAATTTCACAGGGAGTTTAGTTCCCTTACTATCTTTCAACCAAGTTTGTTTTTCAACAATAATTACGCCTGTTACTTTTCGGATGGCTGCAAATGATGGACTATAGCTTTAAGCACTTGTGTTGCTTCAAATGGAAAAAAATGCACAAATGACAAATGATCTACCCTATCTTTAATGCACACAAACCTGAAGAGTCTTCATGTGATTGTCGGGTGTCATCAGCTGTGTGTTGCAATATTTCTCCCAGTGGTCTCCCCCAACTCTCCCTTTGTAACCGTTGAGGGGGTACTTGTGCACGGAGTCCATTTTGAAGCTGGTTTCAAACTAGAAGCAGCTTAGTCATTGTCCACCGAACTCTAGCATTAATTGATTTAACCTTTAACCCTGGTCCAGGTTCATGGGCTTTGAGAAGGGAGACGACTACAAGAAAACCTGGAAGTCATCTGAGGATGGCAAGGTTAACTCCAACCAGCCAATGCGCATGGAGGATAACCGTGACGGTGGTAACATGCCCTCATCCTATATCACAAGGTAAACAAACAAACAAACAAACAAACAAACCAAACAACAATAATTACAGGCATGCAACTTTTCCTCGGATCCGCTGATTTCCTCGTTTTTGATTCTCATGAATGCCATTACAAATTGAAAATCACTGTACAAAGTCATGTGTGGTTTGGAATTTCCTCTTTTTTTTCTAAATTCCCAGTTGAATGCCTGTAATTAGTGTACATGTAAATTTCAACTTGAGACTTTTGTAATTTACCATTCTGAATGTTGAAAGTGTTGTTGTCAAGTCAAGTCTATAGTCACAATTGTTATATCATGTCTTTGATTCAGTGGTCTAGAAAGGCTACATGGCCAGTCTGTAAAAATAACCGTTACCTGGTTTGACTGAAACCGATGTTTCTAGCTTTCAAAATATTCAATGCAGCATTAGTGTCTTAGCTTGATACTGCCGAAATAAAGAGGGATGGTATATTTATTAAACCGGGGTTCAGGGAAATAGATCTTGACCAAAACACTTTTCCTTGTCAACTAAATGTTTTTTTAGCCAGTCTCAATGCACTATGTACATGTAATTAGAAAAACACGTCCAATTTTCATTGAATACATTTTAATAACCCTGAATATGTAATGCCTGCAGGATAACGAATGACGCCCGCGAGGACGAAATGGACGAAAACATTCAACAGGTGAGCGGCATTGTGGGTAATCTGCGCCACATGGCCATTGACATGCAGAGCGAGATCACTTCTCAGAATCGCCAGGTGGATCGCATCATTGACAAGGTAGGGATGGCCTTCAGTTTTACTTTATCAATTAAATTGGAATTACAGACATTTTTCATTCTTTTGTGTATAGATTCCCCCCCCCCCCCTTTTCACCAAAAAAATTACACAGTTGATCCTCAAAAGAAGCTAAAGGCTGGTTTATGCTTTGCGTGAATGCATATGAAAGAAACTATAAATCATGAAACATTCGTAGCAAAACTTGTTAGAGTCCAAATGTGTTCAGTGTCTCCAAAATTTGCGTTACATAACATCCCAAGTTTGCGTTCATGCGCGCCTTTCTGCCAAGCAGGAACTGGCCTTACCTCTGCAAGGGACGACTTACTCAACAATTTCAAAAACAGAAAAAAGAGGGATGGTATTTGAAACACACAGTTGGGTTATTTTTGGGGGGGGGGGGGCTGCACAATAAACTGAGTAAAACTCTTTACGCTCTTGTTGAAATTGTGGGGATACATTTTTTGGTTGAATGAAGTTTCGTTTGTTTGGTATCAAATAAAATGGGGTCCCTTTATACAAATAAACACCCTTTTAAAATGTTGAAAAAGGCTTAAGAATGGATACTTTTACATCATGTGTGAATATTAGGGACAGGAAACTATGTCATCAATTATATGTGGAATGAAAAACAAAAGTCTGTCCAAAGGTTATTTTATAATTAATGGACACCCATTGAAGTGGCTTGTGATTTTGGTGGTAGAATGTACATGTTATCAGTGTTGCATGTGTGTCTATTATTTCATCTTCGCTTTGTGTTGTCATCATTATGTTCTTCTATTTGTACAAAATTTAAAAAAAGGTGAGTTCTGACATTGGTTTCTGTTTATCTTCTTAAGACTTCATGTCCTCAACCGAACAAGGGTGCAACGACATATGTCTTGCATCTTAAGATGTAGTTGCATCCTTGTCCACCAACTATACACGTTTATACAACGCTTGAATAAATCCCCGTCATCTGATTGGTTGTCGTTGATCACGTGTCCTTGAATTATTCGTCCCAACGCATTGCCCGGCCGCACCGCAGAAATGTTCTATTCCACGGTAAATAGAACTTCCATTGCACAGTCTCACGATTTGTGGCTCTGACCAATTAGATGACAAGGATTTATTCAGGTGTGGTATAAAGCAAATAATGAATGTTTCACATTCGAGCAATGGAAAGAATAATTTCATTCGGTGACAGATGGAATGTTTCATGGAACGTATCCCATCTGTCACCTCATGAAATTATTCTTTCCATTGCAATCATAAACATTAATTATTTGCATAATATGCTTCCTAAGAAAACATAAATGAGCAGTTGAAAGAAAATTGTAACCAATCTTGGGGTTCACATAAGTTTTGTATTTGAAGGCTCCAATACTTTACATGTACTACAAGTACAACTAATTCGGTTGACTGAAAATGGGAGTAATTTCTTACTTAAAGATATGGTTTGCACAACAATTTTTGTTCAATATTGAATTTAGTTGGAGAAAAATGATAAGATAATAATTGAATTTAATTGTAAGTTTCACAGTGTTAAGTATTTCAAGGAAGCCTTTTCCGTTGGTTTGTTGCCTGAAATGTATTTCCAAATCTATTTTTCTCTTGTGATCTATTGTCATGTAAACTTAGCAGCCAGAACTTTGAAAAAAAATAAAGAGATTTACCACAAATTTTCAGACACGACGGTATATTTGGCAAACATCTGTCATGCTATTTCAAGATGAAAAAAAAAATTAAAAATAGCTTGATTCATAATATCCGCCGAGGCGTTAAAGTTGCATTTCAAGACCCGGGGAGATTCTCGAGTATGGTAACACGATGGGAAATGGCAAAGCAGAGAGACACCAATGAAACAGCCATCGTCAACTGGACAGATGAGAAATCTTGAAGTGACCCTACAGGGTTTGCTGTGATCAAGTCATCTTTACAAGGGCGTGCTGTTCGGAGCTTGAGGAGGCAAGAGTATATTCTCCCTAAAGAAACACCTCCCCCAGGATGGTGCCGAAACCGGAAATACTACAAGTGAAATTGCACAGAAACGGCCAGGGGTCCAAAATCCATTTCTGTCCGTCTGGTGATCATCAATAAAATTTGTCAGTTGCCTGGATTTGCGATTCAAGGTGAAACCAAAATCCTGCATTATTTTAGGGGGAAAAAATGCTGCATCACATATTCCCTCCAGTAGATCTCTCCTTGGAGTTGGGTTCATGAAAAAAATCGACCTTGATGAATGTCATTGGATAATGACGGGTAGAAATTCACAGGACTGGCTTCTGAGTTTTGATATTTTTTTTTCATTTTTTAATGTGTGATGTAGTAGTGGTACTGCATGGCTGAAACATGTAGAGTGAAGTGCGCTTGTGTTGCATCTTGCATTAGTTGTTCAGTACAAGTCTTGCAGTCATTTGTGTTAATGTAGTCATGGTAGTAGTGCTTGTAGATTTTCCCCTATTTTTATTGGTGTTCCTGCTGAAATTGTATCTTTAATTCCTACATGTATTCTTAAGGCCAATCATACTCACTAAAACAATTACATTTCTGCAGTTGTATATTAATCAAAATGAGTTTTTAACTTGAGTATTTCATTTGAGCCATTTCATTGAACTAAATGCGTCATATTTTGGCTTCTTTATCTTTCACCCATTTTTCCTTTTCTCCATGCCACCCTGTCATCCACGCACCATTATAAAATTGATTTTTCCTGACGCCATCATTCCGACATTGACATTTCTCCCATTTGACACCTATTTATTCCTGACTTCAAAACTAAATCGAAAATTGCTCACAACCATTTTCCCCCTTAATTACGTCACCCTTTCTCACACACGCTCTCAACCTTTGACCTTTCAACCTTTGACCTTTTTAACCTATAACCTCTGGTACCTCTGGTCACACCCTGCATACCTTTATCTAGGGCACATCCAATGTTGATCGTCTTTCTGCTGCTAACGAGCGTGCCAGTAAGCTGCTCAAGTAAACAGCCCATGCTCAAGCTACTCGTCAAAAGCCAAAACAAAAAAACCCAGTCTTTGGGCTTTTTTCATCACCAGCACATACTTTCATCACTGCATGGAATCATCTTCATCTTGCCAGGTTCTTTTTTTTTCTTTCCTGCAGCTCTGTAAAAATGTTTAAAGATCTCCTTTTTTCTCATTCTAAGTAATAGTTTTAAGTATTCAATGTAATATTGAAGTTAAGTACAATGGCAAGACATTTAGGATAAACATGTACAGTTCAATCAGCAATACATTGAATACAAGATTTTGAGTGCAGAGAATAATTTTCAGAAATGATCTCGAGTAGAACAGTTTGCAAAGTGGCTGTCATTCTGGCCTGGATGGCTGTTGATTTTAGACATTACAGTTACATGTACAAGGTATTCAGGATTTTTACAAAAAAGTGTCAAAATTTTCTCAAATTAGATAGAAAAAAATTTGTTCACTGACGGTGCACTCAATCAGCAATTAAAAATGGCAAACAATGTTCAAATTGAAAAAAAATTAAAAGGGTGTCCTAATGACATTGTGACACTTCTCTTGTTATCTCATTAGCACTTGTACTACATTGTATTACATTGTATTTATTCCCAGAAAAATCCATAAAATTATACAGTGCTTGGGCGGTTTCGGGCGGTACAAGTCGAAATATGTACATGTAGGGCAGTTGGAGGCGGTACAGGGGTTAAGCTATATGGTCGGTTTTCAGTTATGTGCAGTTATCATTTAGCATAGGATTGAGTTTATAAGCTTGATTTATTGGGTGTCAAATTGTGAAACCATACAAATGACAATTTGAGGGTAAACATGGTAAATCATCTTAAAATATCTATCAGCAAATAGGTAAACGCATACCTGATTCAAAGAAAGTATGGTATCAAACATTAAGAAAAGATGTTAAGAAGGACCGAATTATTGTATGTCCGCGAAAATAACATTTCAATTTTGATGTTCTTATTGTGAATTTGTTGACAAGTAATTTTTTTCGGCTGTTATATGAAAAGTGATGGTCTTATGTATAAATTATATCTCAGTAGTTGCCATGGCAATCCTTATTCATGCTGCTGGGATTTGTTTTTGCATTTTCTTCAATATTCACATACTAGTATTTAAAAAAAAAAGACATGTATTTATTTCAGGTTAATGTTAAAATGTCATTTGTCTTTATTTGCTGCATTAATAGACCATTTCACAGAAACCACCATTTTTGTGGTCATGTGGTACAGACATATACATGTACATTCCAGGCCAAGTTCGCGCAAGGACTGTAGTTGACCAATGGTTAACTAACGTTTGCCTGAACTCTGTCTAGTCGACGGTGGTTGACTGCGCTAGTCAATTAATTGGAACCAGCCTACTGGGGTTGGTTGCATCGCTGGTAACCAATAGCCGCGCGCATTCATATCGCTAGCAGAGAGCCAGGATCCAGACGTTTTGCGATGACATTTTGACCAGCGTTCGACTAGAGACGTTCGCACTTTGCTATCAGTGCGCAGGCGTAAGGTACGTCACAAATCAACCACTAGTCGACTAATGGTCCTTGCCCGAACTTGGCCCCAGCTGGCCCCAGCATGCCATTGTAACCTGAGCATGATGGGAAATATTTATATTGTAGTGCCCCCTGAGATTATCACGTGACCACAGAGATGGCGGTATTCGTGAAACGCTCTATGTACATGTAAGACGAGAAATTATTTGGTGGGATAGGTCACAGATAATGCAAAGAAATATCCCTATTTTTGGGAGCAAGAATGGTGAAACTGGATGTACGTTTAGAGAAGATTCCTGATATGGACTCTGTGCACGAACAATAGATGGCGCTGTTTGCCACTTTTGAAAGCCCCAGTGACAACCTCGTTTACATGGAGACGATCTTGCTGCGCCATGTTGGTTCCCATCATGCCTTGCGCAATCTTAACCCCTGGAATTGTGTAATTTAAATGTGCGACTATTTGGGACATTTAAATTAGGACTGCAGTCGACATACTTAACGCGCGACGCAGTGCTCAACATTTT